CCCCAGCAGCGATTCTCGACACTGACGAGAGAGGCTATGAGGAAGGGAATGAGACTGAAGGTGGCAGCGACGAGAGGCGGCAGAACTTCCCGAATATGGTCGTCGGCGATTTGGAATTCCTACTCAGGGGATTAGGACTATCACCGAGAAGACAACGGGCGCGTGATGGAGAGCAGGAGCGCATACCTCTCCAGTGATGGCCATGTCGGTTTCGACCTTGACGAGCGCCACGTCCTCCTTGGGCGTCCTGTCCACCTTTTTCTGCAGCTTCTTGACTTTGTCCTGGGCCTTTTCGTAGTCGAGTCTCTTGTTCTCACGCTTCTTGATCGTCTTGCGGATCGGCTGGATGTAGTCACGGGCATCGGCGGCCGGGCGGATGACCTGGGCATCGATACCGGCGACCTCTTGCAGAAGCTCGTCCTTGAGTTCGGCGTAGGCTTCACGCAGGGCAAAGGTTCGGCTGAGCTGCAGGTCGGATGTGGGCTCGCTGGGACGGCGCGGGCCTTCCGTGGCGCCGGCGATGGGGTCGTAAAGGCCTTCAAACTCCTTCATCATACCCCATTGCGTGTTGGCAATGTTGACCCACGCATCTCGAAGCTGCTGCGTGCTCTCGACAATCTGGTAGAAGAGCAGGTTAGCTCTGCGTCGACCGAGGTGGGAGGGGCAAGAAAGGGCGGGAAAGGGCAGAGCAGGTGGGGGGTTTGTGGTGGTTCACCTTGGCGAGCATTTTGTCGGCGTCGTCGTACTCCTTGAGCATGATGGCTACTTTGGCATTGTCCCCCGGGCCTTTGCTCATCATCCTGCCAAACTTTTTATTGATACGCTCCATGGTGACTAAAGAATGTAGCTTGGCTTGCTGGCTCGTAAAGTTGTCGCGTTGGGCTCGTTGTTGTGGTTGAAATCCAGACAATAATGGAATGTCCGGAGGATTACGTATGTCTCCTGACAAGGTGCAAGGAGCTCGGGAAGCTCGCACCAAGTACTGAAAGTAACGGCAACCCGGGCGGAGAAAAGGGCCCAACGAGTCGCACCAGTGCTACCAAGGATACTGGACCTGTTATACACGGCTTGGAGACACGGCCAAGGTTCTTCTTTGGTTGTTGAGAGGTAAATGAGTGAGTGGCAGGACAGGACAGGCTTCGCCAGGGGGGGGGGGAACATTGGCATTCGTATCGACCTGGGACAGAGCCGATCATGCAACGCGCGGGCAGGCACGGTGGAGAGGGCGAGAAGAACGCACGCTCAAGCTTACCACATATTGGTCATTTTGGGGGGCTTCAGCGAACGCCCGTCTCTCGTCCGGATCTTTGACGCCGCAAATCGCCAGCCCCCAGGTTGGCACGACTTGCTCCCATCAGTGCTGAACCACTGCGTCCTCTGACGATCAGCAGAAACTCGCGTGGCTGTCATCTCATCCCGGACGCAAATGCCCCAAGAGCCCCAAAGGGTGTCTACACAGGAAGCGGGCCGCTATCCCCTCTACGCCCCCACACTTTGTCCCCTGTCCATGCACAGGCTAGCTAGCTTCCACGCTCGAACCGGGGGCACGCAGGTACCTGGGCATATTGACTGGACGCCTTGCGATTTGCGGTTACCCAACGGCCAAGTGACTCTAGGATTGAAAGGAGTATGTGTATCCAGGTTACCATCGTCTTGTCCGGATTGGAGGGGCCGGAAGGCCGCGGGCATCTGGGGGCGACGCCATGCTCAAGCAGGCTGTCTACGGGTTGACTAGATTCACTATTCACCACGCATTACCGCCAGCTGCCTGGTGCCATATGACCTTCCAAAATGGACATGCTTTCGGTGGGTGACCTGCCAGCATATCTAGGACCAAGTCGTTCGCAGTGCCATGTACGCCTGCTTGGTGTTCATGTCTGATCACAGTCACAATCTCCGTGCCGAACCGCACCTGCATAGGCCCGCACCGGGGTAGCTTCACTGCATCGACCTTTGAAAGGACTTGCCAGCCCTTGTAGTTACATGGTACACAGCAGACCCTCTCGTGCAGCAGCACACTCGATGACGAAGGACGAAGTAGCTAAACTTACCTACCTTAGGTACCAAGGCAGGTAGCCACGTTCTGGAGCCCACGTGTTCTAAGCATTTCGCCCTGAGACACCCAATCTCAGGCACCTTGTCCTATTTGATTTGGTGGTGAATTGCAGACGCAGTACGTCCAATCATACCTATTAAACTATGTGGGCGACGACATGTTCCCTGTCAGGATCGCTCACGGGGAGCACAGAAGGGGATTTGGACCTTATACTGCTGTTACACAGAGCACAACTTAGGTACCAACTTCAAAGGTATTCAGACAAAAGGACCTTGACAGCGAGACTGAGGGCCAATCACCAGTGGTTTCTCAAGGATCGATAAAATCACGTGACCTGGCGTCGGTCCCTCTTTCCCCCAGTCGCGTCACCCCCACCTATCCGACCGCGTCTCGTCTGCCGTGTCCTACACATACGGCTCGAGACGAAAGCAAGTCCAGCACCAGAACGACTTGTCACCCAGAACGATCGCATGTCTGATACACAGCGCTCGGCCAGATGAGACTATTCTTTCAACCGCACGACAATTGCCAAACAACCACCTGTGCCCCGTCATGAAAGCCATCCGACCATGGCGGCCTCCACCCCGCTTTCTCACGCCAACATGAATGTTATCAACAGCTCCCAGTCCAACAGCGAGACCGGCACGGCCACTGCTGCTCCAGTTCTCGACTATGCATGCCTTTTCTCACACGACCTGAAGCGAAAACAAAAACGATGGCGGGATGGGCGACTCAAGTTTCACTGCTTCAACAAGAGGGTCATGGTCTATGATGAGCGTGGTAACTTTATTGGCGACACGCACTGGACGATGGACTACGACTTGGACGAGGGTGAAGAGTTTCAACTTGCGCGCGGATGCGTCGTAGTACAGGTCTCCGAGTGTCTGGGACGCAAAGAACAAGACCTGTCCGCCTTGATCGACCAACGCTACAAGGACAAGGAGGAACGCAAGGCCCATGCTGACGCAGCCGCTGCTTCCAAACCATACAGGCCTGCACCTACGCCACACCGACCACCGATGCCCATCGCCCAGCCAATGACGAATATAGCGACCCCTCGTGGTAACCAGCTCGGCCGCGCCGTCCTCCCTACGTTATCACCCTTCGAGCAGCGGAACCTCCATGCTCAAGAGTCCGCCCAACAGGACGAGCAGGCCAGACCTGCCAAAAGAAGAAGACCAGAGGCATCGCCCCCAAGTAAGAGCGGGTATGCCAGGAGTCTCTTCGGAGCGCCGCTCGCCTTGGCTTCTTTTCCTTCAAGCGCCGCACACCAGTCTCAAACTGCTCCGTCACAGGCCTCAGATATCCGCGCCATTGGCAGAGAACCGTTGCTACCCCGTTCGCGACCTATGCCTAGTCTTCTGAAGGTGCAGCCAACTGCATTCGCTGACACTCCTTCGAAACCTTCAAGAACCACGTCTAGATCAAACCCCATTATCATAACTGATGGCACCCCCGAAACTGACTCAAATCGCCATCACGTCGATTCTGCAGAGCCATCTGTCAGTCTCGCTGCCATCGCTGGAAAGTCGAAAGCCAGAGCGGGCCGGTCGAGCAAACAGCCATCCCATCACGACGAACGCCTGGTAGAGGAAGATGGCCCCCCGAGCTCAGGTGAAATCAATGGAGTGCGAGCGGTTCCTCCGCAGTTGGTAACTGAAGCAAGCACGTTGCTTCAACCGCGTATGGCGAAGCGAAAGACTCTTCTATCCGTGCCAAGGAAGCAGACAGTACAGTCAACTCATGACCAGCTCGAAAGCCCAACAACGGCTAGGACTGACGATGAGTTCTCTACTGCGGATGCGCTAGATTTAAACCCAAGAACGAGCCTCGTGGCAAGCACAAAACGGACAAAAAAACGTGGTCTTCTGATAGCCGCGGAGAAGACAACAACCAGGAAGCGACGCAAAAGTGTCGACGATGAATCAGGCCATGACGTGGTGAAATCTACGCACTCTGTGCGCGCCGACGAAGAAAGCGTCGTCTCTAAGGAGAAAAGACGCCGCAAAGTTTCGGCTGGCTTAATGTTCGATGACGACGATGCTATCAACGTTGACAGCGACGCTACGTGCCCCTCACCAAAACTCCCTGTCCTTAGTCAACCTTGTGACTCTGTGGATGAGATCACCAATCAGGGCGATGTGCCTCTTACAGCGAGGAAGGTCGATTCCCCTCCCCAAAAGAATGTTGAAGACCCTAAAGGTCATAATAATGAATTGAGCGAGGAAGACGTTGAAGCTCGTCATCGTTTCAGGGGTAAACACGCAACCTGTCGCCTGGGAGAATCGGGCTTGGACACACCTATCTCAGTGCCAAGCTCTCCTGCATCTTCTAGCCCTCCAACTCCCGTCGAAGCACCCCCACCAAAACGGGCGCAAGCTCCCACGAGGATCAATAGGCCCCATTTGGCTACCTTGCGGGGGAGTGTCAAGAGCAAAGAGATCATTGGGTTCTATGATAGTGCCAATAGTTCCCGAGAGGCAGCAGCTCTCGCTCGCATACGTGAGTCCATGGCGTTCGCCAATGACGAAGACGAACCCGCGGTCACAGAGCAAGGCCCGAAAACTGGAACCAGAAGGAAAGAAGCTGAAGAAGAGGGACACAACCAAGAACAACTCCGGGCGACGGAGGTACGGAAAGAACGGGAAGAAGAAGAACGTCGACGACAGCTGCGGGAGACGCAGGCTCAAGAGGAAGCTCAGAGAAAGCAGAGGGAGATGGAGGTGCGTGCGAAAAAGGCACGCGAGGAAGCAGCTCGACAAAAGAGACGACAGGAGAAGATGGCTCTGGAAGAAGAGGAGCGCCGACAGGAAGCACGTGAGGAGGAGGCTCGGCAAGAGGAGCTGCGTCGACGACAAGTTCGCGAGCAGGAAACCCGCGAGAAGGAAGCTCGCGAGGAGGAAGTGCAACGTCGAGAAGCTCGCGAAGACGAGGCTCGGCGAGAAGCACTGCGCCAACAGCAGATCCTCGAACAAGAAGCTCGTGAAAAGCAAGCTCGTGAAGAAGAGCTGCGGCGTCAGGAAGCCCGTGAGAGGGAAGCTCGAGAAGCCGAGAGGCGTCGTCTGGAAGCCCACGAGCAAGAGCTACGCAAGCGAAAGGCAAGAGAAGAAGAGCTACAGCAAGAGCTGATTCGTGAAAGACAGGCTCGTGAACGTGAGGCCAGGGAGAGGAGGGCCAGAGAGGAGGAGGAGCAACGAGAGCAAGAGCTCCGACAGAAACTGAACCGCGAAAAGGAGGCTCAAGAACGAGAAGCCAAACAGAAGGAAGAGCGAGAAAGAGAGGCTCTGGCAAGAGAAGTCCGCGAACGGGAGGCGAGAGAAGCAGAAGATCGTGAACGGAAAGCACGGGAGAGAGAGGCGCGTCTGGAAGCTCGAGAGAAGGAAGCTCTGGAGCGGGAGGCTCGCTTAGAAGCTCGGGAAAAGGAGAATCAGCTCAAAGAGGCTCGGGAGAAGGAGGCTCGAGCGAAGCAAGCCGAGGCCGAGACCACGCGTCAAAAGGACGTCAGAGAGAAGGCAAGGCTTCCTAAGTTTGTCCCTCCCACCAGGCCTAGTACACTTGGGGGCGCTGTCCGAGCCAGCCTTTCTCGTGCCATACCTCAGGCTGCTGGTGTTAGAGCCTCTACTGCGGCGCGAGAGTCGGCGAATATGGATGCCACCACAAGGAACCGGGCGGCCGAGGAGTCAACCGGCCCTTCGTCTGCCACCTTGCCTGTCTTCACTCGGGCGAACGGGGGCCCATGGAGCATACAAGCACACGATCTGCTGGGAGTTGGGCGGCCCTCATGAGGCTGCTGGCTATCGAACACAAGGAAGTTAGATGAGAAAATCATTGGGCTCTCCTGAATACTGGCGCATCAACCGGAGAGGCGTATGCAGCTGGCGAATTGATGAACTCTATCCATGGGCGGTATATTGCGTTACGAAAGATCTCGATCTTCACTCGTTCTGCCACTCAGGTTGCATGCGGCTGTAGACGAGGCGTGCGCCGCGCCCAGTAAGGCACATATACCTTTGGGATGATATGAATTACCTATTCTCTCCTGTAGACCTGAGTATCAACATGCACTCGTATAGAGATCACGGCGTCAATCTGGGTAGCGGGCGTTTGTCGGACTGCCACATTGGCTTCAAGAGGTGGGGCTGACTCATGGAGGTCGTGTTCGTGCTTTCCGCCTTGCGGTGTGCCTTCGTCCTCGGATCTCACAACAATGATTGACTTTCACTAAAATCTGACCTACCAATAAGTACTTTCAGCGTGTACCTCCACCGACGTCGCCAGCCCGCCAAGCACGGGGTGCACCGTTACTGGGCGGGTGGGACCACGGGAGCTGACCCCTGTTAGTCGAGCTACTTGTACCTCGTTTGTAGGTGCAGATCTGTTCAGCAGAGCGGCTTCGTATCCTCGATGGCACCGGTTCAATTCTGGCGGCTCCAACGGAAGCCATTGCTGCCTAGAGCTTGCTTGGTACATTTTGATGACAGGCTGATGGAGGTGGTACCTACCCATCCTTGTACCTCTCTGTATATCTGCACCTGCAGATAGACCGAGTTCTCAATGCAGCAATAAGGATCCGAGGCTCGCGTTGACTCACAGGTGATCACGTGATTCTTACTCCCGCGCCATTGGCCAATCAGCCTCATGCGTCCTCGCCGACAGAGCCTGCAGCATCCGTGCAGGAGTGGGCTGAACTGGCCAATGAAGGCTCCATTCTGGCCCCTCCTCAAGTCTATGTATCGATCTGGTTGGCTAACAGAAGGAGGGTCTGCGTCTGGGCGCTATTCCCCTTTCAGCTCGCCGACGGTCTCATCCCAAACCACCCACTGCGCCTTCCTGGATCACGGAGGGTGCGCCTGTCCGATGGCTCACTGAAATACCCTTCGTGACTCCCGTCCAGCAAGACCTAGACTACCCTCCTTCTCCTCCCGTTCACCATATCCTCGCCACCAAATCTTCCTGATCACATCAGGCCACGAATAGCTCGATCCACCAAGCTAGCGATAGCTTCGAGTTCCAGATCAGTATCTGCCGGAATTCACTCCTGGCCCTCGGCCGCTTACTCCGTGAACCTCTCCACCGTGACTTGCATGCCAAGTACCAACGCCAGAGTATATTCATCAAACCCCTACATCCATCGTCCACGACAACAACAATTACACCAAGGTGAGTTACAGGCCTCACAGCTTGCCACTCAGACCGTGCAGCAGCTCATCTCGGCCCAGGTTCTCTGACCTCTGACATCGAATCCACCTCAAGAACCACCAGTCTGGCTATCTCTCGCGCCGGCCTTAGACCTTACCAAACCTCCCTCTTAGGGATCCAACGCCACTCCAAACCTGCCATCACCTTCCACTCTACCACAATGACAGCCATGCTTCGGAACGACTCCGTGCAGGGCTTCTCGGTCTCGCAGCCCAACTTGGGCGCTGCCCTGCAGTTCATTCCTGCTATGGGCAGCCAGCTGCTGGACGAGCTAATCCATGCCTACATCCCCGGCGACGCTTCCATCCAGGACAAGCGCTCATTCGTTTCCATGGACTTCTTCGAGTACTCTCGCTTGACCGGCGAGACCTTCAGGTACTACCCAGTCGCAGCACGTAACACGGCAACCTCGTCTGCCAGTTCAAGCCCCGCCCAGGATTCCGGATACGCATCCCAGTTTGTGTCGCCCGTGATTTCGGACGGCAGCTTCTCGACGCCTGCCTCTGTCGACATCGCGACCCCTGCTTCCTTCTTCCAAGATACTGTTGTTCAGCAGGCCCCCAAGAAGGCTCCAAAGAAGGCCGTTGCCTCCTCGTCTCGGTCGCCCGCTAATGACTTCTCACACATCCCCGGAATGAAGATCATGACCCGTGATGGCCTGGACATCACCAACTCGGCCTCTCGTGGCTGCAAGACCAAGGAGCAGCGCGACCACGCACACTTGATGAGAATCATCAAGGCATGCGATGCCTGCAAGAAGAAGAAGATCCGATGCGACCCTAGCCACAAGAAGCGCACGACGACACAGGCACAGGCTCCGGCACCCTCTCAATCCCAATCACGACCGAAGCCTTCCAAGAAGCTCAAGCAAGCTGCAATCGAAGCACCGGTTGCCGCGCCACAAGATTTAGGCATATTCGACGCGTCTTCCTTCACCAGGGATGACGCTTTTGCCGACTTTGAGCTTCCCGTTACGACAATCGAGTACCAGGAGTCTTGGGAGTCACTCGTTCACTACGATGATGAGCCCATGTACTCTGTCCCTGTTGACTACGACTTCTTCTTCGACCCTGCTGGTCACTTCTCGCCCGGTTCGAACAGCTCTGCATCCTCCTCTCAGCCAGCCGTCACTGCCCAACCGCAGCTCGTCTCTCGACCACCAACCACGCCACCGTCTCTCCCATACATGGGAGCCGGCAGCTCTAGTTCCAACTATGTCGACTTTGATCTGTTCTCGCCTGCTGCTAGCTTTATCGACGACGAGTCTATGCCTGTCAACGATATCGCCAACTTCCACGGGGAACGTAGGAGCGACAACGTGGCTTCCAATGTTCGTCTGTCTTCGTCGAACCCTACAGCAAGCGCTAGCTTGATCGGCTCTCTGCCCGGATACCTTGAGATTCAAGAATGGCCCGAACCGGGCCTAGCTTGGTACAACTCTGGTGCGGAGACGTTGTGTGTAGGAAGGCAGACGCAGACACAGAACACACCGCTAGCGCAAGCGTCCCGCGCACCATCTGCAGCATCTCCACAGCTTCCCGATACTCTAGTGGTATGTCGATACGTGTCCCCAACCATGCCGATGCCACTAACAAGTTGTCAGGATGAACCTCTTATAGATGCACCAAGGATAGTATCGTCCGCAGCTCGCCAACACAGCTCGTCCACCGGTCGTGGCAGGCTAGACTTTGTGTCTCGTCCTCGGTCCTGTGGTGCAATTGGTGAGGTCATGCGCGATATCGCGGCGGCCAATTCGGCACCACTATCAAGCTTAAGCCCTTCGGTTGCTCGTACTTCCCAGATTGCTACCGTTTCGGATGCGTCATCGTCGACAACGGTCGCTGCACGACTAAGGACTGGTGCGTCAGTGCAGAGGTCACAGTTCTCGTCGTCAGCCAGCCTCGCAATCGCGACCGATGCCCCTGATGTACGCAGCAGCAGCGTGCCTGGGACTTCCGTCGTCGTTTCATCTGCAAGCGAGATTATGTCAAGCCTCCTACCCACACCCCATGTGATCAGCGTGGCGGTGGCTTGCGGAGTTCTTGGTTGTGCACCCCTGTCTATGGTGGTATGCTTCCTTTCCTTTGTACTTGGGCTTGTCGCCCTGGGGTCGATCTACTGCCCCCAGACCGCATGGTCAGGTACGGATCAGAGAATCCACAAAACCACTCCCTTATCCAGGAGTCAAGACAACAAGCAGAGCTTCCTCTCTCGACGATGCGAGAGCTGGAGGTTCACAGCACATAACGAGTGTCGCCATATGGACACGTTCTATCCCACGATGGGGCGCCTGGCGACTTCTAGGTTGCTGACGCTCACTCGGTAAAAGATGGGCCACCTCGTTCTTGTTGTCTATTGACTTGGATGCGGCATACCCGTTCCTCCGCGGCGTTACTTGATGATGTCGCTCGCTGGCGGGGATGCTGCGCCGTGTAGCTGTACACTTTAGCGTGTGTACTGTTGTCGGTTAACTGGGAGCATTTTTGGTTTTATGAGATACCCCTCTGTTCTTCATTTTGGTCCACGTTTCTGCCTTGGTGGTGGTTTTGCCGGGACCGGCATATGGGCCAGTCAGTGTGAAGGGTTTTGGACGGGCTTGGGGAGGTGAGGTGGCTGGGATGTGTGCGCTTATTGCCCCTAGGTCTGTCGATAATCTACTGATTTGGCTGAAATTTGGGTCTTGCGTGATCGTGACTGTGACTGTGTCCACACTTCGGGCTGAAAATTCTCTCTCGAGCCTGTATTCATGATTCAACCCCCGTTGCTCAACCGTTGGCCCAATCAACATGTTGTGACAACTGACAAGCAGACTGAACGAGCGTCGCTGCCAGCGGACACGTCTGATTTCCATGCACTTGCCAACACTGCAGGGTACAGGCAATTGAAAGCGTGACTTCGTGTTCAATGCCTGACAAAGACTCAAGATGCAATGGTGAAGTAACGACGGCTGTCAGTTCTCAGGCACCAATATCGAGAGACGTCTCTCGGTATCACGTGATCACGTGTTTGCGCTCCACTTCGGTGGACGTTGAAGTTCTGAAAATATTCTCCGTCAAAGACACCAGCAAACGATACTCCAGTCACTCTCCGTGTGCCCTAGTCCAGTCATTATTTTTGGGCGTTCAAAGTGGCTGACTGGTAAAGTTCTGTCCCTGAGCCTTGTTCTGGTATGGTACTGATGTGAAGTGGTCGTCAGCTTTTGGCCTTTGTCATCATGCAACATTGAGACCGGTGGCTCACTGGTGGCACAACACCTTATTCCTCATTGTTCTCTTGTTCCTCATTGTTCTCTTGTTCCTCTTGTTCTTGAGGGGAAGGAAGCTGTGAGGTCGTTGGAATAGAGGTGAAAGGCCGAGAGACGTGTTAAAAGTCGATATCTCTTTGGACGACGCTCAACTGCAGAGCCGGTTGAGAGGATCACTCGCACTGAGGTGTCTTTGGCGGGCGAAACGTTGCTGATCGACCTCAATTGCTGATACCGTGGAAAGAGGGAAAGACTTGGGAGGAAAGACCTACACGCTAAGTGCAACTTCTACAATGTTGAATCAGGCCCCGGTTCCTGCCTCTGGACAGTCATTGTTCCGGGCAGTGGCAACAACACCACCAATACCTGCTGCTTCATCTTCCAATGCACAACAAGCATCGACCTCAACGCCCGAGGGAAACCGTCGATTCTCATCTACGGGTCGATTTCTGAATCGCTTCTTTCGCCGCCTTATCCCCCGTTCTCCATCATCTGTCTCCTCGTCTCAGTACAGCGAATCCGAGGACACTACCACAACAGCTTCCGTGCAGTCAGAAGATAACAGACCAGACACGAAACCGGACGTCGAAAGGAACGCCTCGGAGCCAGTCTCTCCAACAAACAATATGTCGATCCATGCCAACCAAGAGAATCTACCGCCTGCGTCCAGCGGCCTCGATGGCTCGGTGGCTTGCCTGTCGCTGGACGATGCATCGCCCGGGAAAGCAGGCCTAATTTCCTCCGCTGGCTCCTTACAGCAGGAAGCTGACACAGATAGCGAAAAGGCAACTCACCACGGCTTCATGGACCAAGCCTTGGACATGGTATGCGCGGCGCTCGTGAGGTTCTCGAGGGAAAATAAGCTAACCGACTTTCGCAGGCTCGCCTTGCGCTCCGCACCAACGAGACGCCCGTCGGCTGCGTCATTGTTCACAACAACAAAGTCATAGCCAAGGGCATGAACGCGACAAATGTCACTCGCAATGGTACTCGTCATGCCGAGTTCATGGCCGTCTCGGCCCTCCTTTCCTACCGTCCCGTGGGCGTGACATCGGACGATGCAGCTGCCGAACCTCGGCATGTCCCGACCGAGATGTCTGCTGCCGAGCGCGAGCAGCGAGACCGCGAGAAGGATGCCGAGCTTGGTCCTGACCCCAGCCTGAAGGACACTTCATATGTGAAGAATGGCCATCTCTATCCGTATGGCCAGAAGCAGCACCCCGATCCTCGCGTGCCACGCTCCATCATTCGCGAGTCAGTGCTGTACGTGACTGTCGAACCGTGCGTCATGTGCGCCGGGCTGCTCAGACAGCTGGGAATTCGCAAAGTCTACTTTGGCGCTGTGAACGACAAGTTCGGTGGTGCTGGCGGCGTCTTCAGTATCCACTTGAACTCTATTAGGCCACAGGACAGACCTTACATTAAAGAACTGCCCTCGGAATCAGAAAACAATGACAGCGGCACAACAGCCCCTTCACGACCTGTGTCAGCTCAGTCAGCGCAGTTAGCTCAGTCGACGCAGCCAGCTCCCAAGTCACAAAACGGACAGTACCATATGCCCCAGTCCAATCCGGATGGCGATGGCGGAAATGTTGAGCGTGGTTTCGAGATCGAAGGCGGATGGGGACGCGAGGAGGCCGTGGGCCTACTGCGGCGCTTCTACGTCCAGGAAAACGGTCGAGGTAAGGCAACCAACTCAGTCGTTGATGAATAAAAACTGACTCTTCTCCAGCTCCCCAACCACGGAAGAAGGAAGGTCGCGCTGCTCGCCTCGCGGCGATGGAAGCCGGCAACTCTCAAGACGCCCAAGGTGTAGTCACGGGCGGTACGCCGGAGGAAGTCGGTGCCGCTGAAACGGTCGATGAGAAGGAGCTGGCAACTAATGCCGAAAACCCGCTGCAGACGCCCACTTTGGAAACCGTGACAGGCCCGCTTGGCAGCAGCAACAAAACTGATTGAAGGGTCTGCGGCTGGCAAGGAGCGAGGCCACTACGTGGACACAAGACACGACATGATGGCGCTGTTAGTGGCAGGCGAGACACGTATACGCTAATGGGAGTGGCCCGGATCGACACGAGGTCAGACAGCGGCTGAGAGGTTGTGACCCAGACACCATGGCCCGGGCCGGAAGCATGTGCTTGTGTAGAGTACTGATGTCTCGTCAGACGTGTATGTGTTTCGAGGTGAGGTGGGGTGAAAGAGAGTCTCGGGTCAGCTTGTTTCCGGACCTTGGTGAAGAGTGAGATTGCAAATCAAAGACATGGCTTGTCTGTGATGTCAATGGCTTCTCAGCAGCCCCCAAAAATTCACTCATAGCAAATCACAGTCTGCAGTGCTGCCTCAATCAAAGGGGGGTATTGATTCCTCTAGGCTAAAATCGACAGGCAAGAGTTGAGAAGAGAAACTACGCTACCGCAACCATGGTATTGTCTGGAGAATCGCCTCGTGCAAAGATCATATCGGTATCATAAACCTCATAACGCCGCCTACTCCCTCGTCGTCCAAGAGAGCACAGGTCCAACATGTTCATTCTGTTCATTCGTTGAAAAGTTATAGTCGAGCTGAATGTATCACACATGTGGGTATGTGGGGTACGAAAATACAAGAAAGGCAAGAGCCGCAGATCGGGAAAGTTTGGATCAGAGCCACAGACACACATGGTTAGGGACTCTATCGTTTCTTCCTTGCGTCGTGCACGTGCTGCTGCGCATGCGCCGTGGCAGGCTGGACGACAAAGTTCCTGATGCCCGCCTCGGCCGCCTGTTTCATGGCTTGGTGGCGCATGCCGCCCTTTTTGACCGGGGAGCGCTTCGAGCCGACGAAGCCGTCGACGAGGCCGGCGCCAAGGGCAGCAGTGGCAACGCGAACGCCCTTCTCGCCCATCCAAGGGGATGGGTCGTCACGAAGCTTATAGGCAGCCTGAGCGCCGGCCTGGATAGCCATGCGGGTGGCGGCGCCTATGGCAGCGTAGCCGGCGGCCTTTCTCGCTTTGGAGCGGCCGGCTGCTGCGGGCTCGGGAGTTGTGGGCTTGCTTGGAACAGAGCGGGAACGAGGCGGGGCATGAGAGGGAGCCTCATGGTAAGGATCATGCTCGGGCCCACGAGACATGTTGCGAGCACGACCACGGGTCTGATAGTGCGAATCGGGCTCCACGCGGCGTTCATGATGCTGTGGTGGAGGAGGGATAGGCTGAGTGCGCGCCCTTGTTGGGCGGCGAAAGTCATCCTCGCCATCATCATCGGGATAGCCGGGGCCATAGGCCGGATAACGAGAGTGGCGTGTGTCAGCGGCGCGTGGGGGGTATTTCTGACGTTCGCGGCTGGCGGCTGGGCCGTATCCTTGATCCAGAGACCCTGCTCTGGCTCTAGTATTCCTCCTGTATGCGTCATCGTCTCGATCATATGCTGGGCGGCTGCGGGTGGCTCGACGCCGATATGCCTCAGGAGACTCTGATCTTGGCGCGTGAGAGGATCGTGGTGCTTCGCTACGGCCGCGCCTGGACTTTAGGGCGGGCTCGGGAGAGTTGTCGAAGCCACCGCGACTAGGTCTCATCTCGGAGGCGCCGCGGACAGGCCGTACATCGTGTTGGCGGCGTTCAAAAGGGACATCTCTGGAGTTGCGTCGGGTTGAGCCAGAAGGATAGTCTCGAGAGAACCTATCATCGTGGTAACTGGGTTCTTGTCGGCGTTGCCTCTCGGCGTATCGTGGTGGCGGATAAGGATCATAGGGGTCGGCAACACGCCGTGATGGTTCGTCGTAAGGTGGATAGCCGGCATCGACTTCTCTTGCGGGGATACCTTTGATGGCGTGCCATGTTGAGTTGAATCAAGATTTTTAAGGAAGACAAGAGAACCAACCCCAGTCCAATAAAGCTTACCAAAAGAGTAAATATCCAGGGCCCATGGGGTCCCGATGCCCACCTGTGGGCAGCCAAGGGACATATATAGTGTTTCCAGGGGGGGGGGGGGGGGGG